ACATTATATGGAATATAAATATAAAGTCATTCGGGTGGTTGGTTTTTTTTTTTGAAGATATTTGCTATTGATGGGGGCAGATGGTAATGGAAGATACCGAACATACTGTTGGAATTAGGATGTGATGTTACCCTAACATGGGTGATGGAGTTTACTATCCAGCTGAAAGACATTACAGAAGATATTATATGGATTATAAACCTAAAGTCTTTTTAAGAGGATTTTATTTACATAAGGGAATATTTTTTAGTGGTGTGGGCAGAAGAATAAAGATACTAAGAATTATTAAGTATGGTAGTCTTGTATGAAAGTGGGTGGAGACAGGTTAGTTTATTGATTTATTGATTGTTTAGTTTAAGAAAAGGGATATTTTGTTTAGATATGAATATATGTAAAAGATTTGAGTTAAGAGATATAATGATGGGGTGAAGGAAATGGGTAGACTATCAATTGAATAAATGTTAAATTAGAATTTATTACATAGTTTTATAGCGGAAGGCTTTGAAATGTTATATTAATATACATAAAAGATTTGATTTAAGAGATATATGTATGGGGGGTTAGAAAAAGGGTAGATTATGAGCAGAAATTGCTAAACTGGGAGATATAATAATATTATGCTAAATTAGGAGTTATTATATAATGTTATAATAGAATGTCATTTTGAAATGTATAGTATAAGGGGGATATGATAATATTATTAGAAAGAAAGGGTCAGTATATGGGGATGGAGTAAGGGTGGTAAAGTATTATATAATCTGTTATGAACTTGGGTTTTATTATGAAGAAGTCACAGGGGGAGGGGAGAGGGAGGGGGGGTTAGGGAGGAGGGGGGAAAAAGCGGGGGAAAATTGTATTTGAAAAACTTTTTCAATAAAAAAGAAACTGTCCTCGGACAAAAGTCTTTTAACTGCCCTAAATGCAGCCGCTTCTGGTTTGCCCCACAGCCAGGGAATGTTTTTTCCTAAGAGTCTATGCAGAGGCTCTGCAATGGTGGCTTTGTCCTTTAAAAACATTGTGTAAAAATTGAGTCCCAAGAATGCCTGCAGTTTGGGCTTCGATTTGGGAGTGGGTGCATTCTGAATGGCCCTGACTTTGCTTTCCATGGGGTGAATAACCATTCCATCAATCCGGTAGCCCAAAAATTCTCCGGAAGGTACCGCTATCTTGCATTTGGACTTTTTAAGTTTAAGTCCCGCTTCTCTGAACCTAGTTAGGACTTGTCTAACCCTATCCCCAAGCTGTGCCTTGTTCTGGCCACTAATGAGGACGTCATTGAAATAGGGGACGAGTCCTGGGAGCCTTGTAGAAGGCGCTCCATGGTGGTCTGGAAGAGCCCTGGGGCGATGCTAACCCCAAACTGTAGTCTAGTGCATTTAAATGCACCTCTGTGAGTTACTATGGTCTGTGATTCTGCCATAGCGTCATCTACTGGCAGCTGCTGGTACGCCTGCGCAAGGTCTAATTTGGCGAATAGCTTGCCAGGCCCCAGGGAGTGTAGTAGATGGTGGACAATCGGAACGGGAGAGGTGCTCTGGTCTCCCTTCAATTTCTACTTTCGTGTAGACTTTCTCTTCGTCAGTCGTGCTGGCTTGGCCGATTCTCGTGCTGTAGATCTCCCGCTTTTGAATCTCGCGCCGTTTTCTTCACGCCGTTTACGACTACGCGGAAATTGAGCTCTACAAACTCGTGCTATGTGGCCTTTCTTTTCACAACGCCTGCAAATGGCATCTCGGTATTTGCAGGATTGTCTCTCATGATCCCCGCCACAGCTAGGACAGTTCTCGTGGCGGCGGCTTTGCTCGCTTTTTTTCTTTTCCGTGTGGAAGACGTCTTTGTCTGACTCTTCCTCCATGCTGGTTCACGCCTCCTCTCTGTGAACGGGGGCTGTTTTAGGGCCGTCTTTGCTTGGCAGTGGCCGTTGTAGCACTTCAGAAGCCTTCGTGGATGCTTTGTGTGCTCTGGCTTCGTCGAGCGCGCTGGCTAATGTTAAATCTGGCTTTGCCAGAAGGCACCTCTGTAAACGAGTGTCTCTAACACCACAAATCAATTGCTCGAGTAGCGCATCGTCTAGATCCCGGTAGTCGCAATGCGTTGCTGCTTTTCGAAGGGCGGCCACATATGCGCTGACCGGTTCTCCTTCTCTTTGTACACGTTGCCGGAGCTCGTAGCGCTGTACAAATTTTGAAGGAACTGGAGCGTAGTGGGCTCTCAGGTTTGCTTGAAGGATGTCCCAGGGGACTGTCTGGACTGGGGTTGGTTCGCAGAGGGACTCGGCCATCTCGAATACGTGTGGCCCGCAGTGGCTTAAGAATAGGGCTCTTTTTTTCGGTTCGCGTAGAGCCCTTGCATCTCACTTGCTTCCAGGGAACACTCGAACCTGGTCAGATACGATCCCCACTTCTCTCGGGTCGGATCGAAGGGTTTTGGTGGAACGTAGGCAGACATTGTCGTGTCTCCGTGTTCGCTCGTCACCCTGGCTGAAACTCAGAGCTCTTTTTGATTTGCCTCTTGTGGCCTCAATCCCACCTTCGTCGCCAATTTTGTAGCGCGGGAATAATGAGAGGCACAAGCAGGCTAGTGACAACAGCTCTTTAATTCATGGTGAGACTTCAGCAAAGGAACACAGGCAACAGCCCTCTTTATATACTTTTCAGGGGCAACCGTTAACCAATCACAATTCACAGGGCATTTGAATTTCCCGCACAAAATAGATACATACATAACACTGTTGATATCTAAAATTTGACATCAAATTCTGAGCCATTCAGTTGCACAGTTTTTGTTCCCTTTTGTGTCTCAAATTACCACTCTATGCACTGTAAGGGAGATAAACTAAAATGTGTCCATTAATGCATTTTTGGCTTGCAATAAATTATACAAATTATGCAAATTGTTTTTCAGTATATATTTCCCAGCACTAGCTCAGCAACTCTGACTGATTTTATAGGAATTAAAGTTTCTGCAAGATTCAGAAATGTATGTATTTGAGTTTACTATTAACCTCACTTTTTGGTTTCTGAGTATACCCAGAAATCTTCTAATTGTTAATAATAGAGCCGTGATGGTGAACCTATGACACGTGTGCCACAGGTGGCACGCAGAGCCCTCTCTGCGGGCATGTGAGCCGTCACCCCAGCTCAGCTCTGCCGTGCATGCTTGCGCACCTCCTGCCAGCCAGCTGATTTTTTGGTCTTTGCTGCACATGCACAGGGGGGTGGGGTGCATGCAAGAGACAAGCATGCATTATTAAAGTAGGACATAAAGTGAGATTTGGATATAAGAGTGAAATGATACGGGGTTGCCTTGGATGACCTCGAAACGTCCCTCAAAATGTCAAACCGCAGAGTCAACTAGCTTTCTCACTTCCGTGTCAAAGCGCAGAGCTAAAACCACATGAGTCAATATAAAACTAATATTTCCTGTTTGATGCCTGTGTCTCAGACGCAAGATATAATCAGCTTCTCTGCCCAGTAATAAGGGGCCTAAGCCAATATGAATGATTTAACATATTTCTGTGTTTTGCTGCTTTTGAAGACTATAAGAATGCGTGTTTTGATCCGAACATTGTTCAGATGTTAGATGGTTATCTTTTCTGTCTGAACCTTTGGCCAAATAAAGCTTCCCTTGATCTCGAAGTCTGAGTCCTTTGCTTTTCTGCAACATTATGGATAAATGCAGGGAGGCCTACTGGACCCAAAAGAGGGCATGGGGGGGGATTTGCAGCACGTCCCCTCACAGCCCATTTTTGCTCCCAGAAGGCTGCAGAGAGGCCTAGTAGGTCCAAAACGAGGCACAGGGAGAGCACAGGGGGGTCACATGCACATGCGCAGGGGGCGGGGGAAGCACGGGGTTTTGTGTGTGCATGCGCAGGGGGGCAGGGCAAGTAGGGGGGTTGCACGCACATTGTATTATCGTTAGCCATCACTGATATAGAGGATATAATTTCCGAAGTCAGTATGTTAGTAAATTACAAAATTATTTTTTAACTTATACCACATGAGTATTGATTCAGACATAGAGTGAGATGTTTAGAGTAACTGAGGATTTGTTGTTATTGTATTTGCTAGGACTGAGAGAAGCCAGTTTGGTCTAATGGTTAAAATACCTGGCTGGAGATTGGCTGGAGCGCTAGTCCTGTCTTAGGTACAAAGCCAATTGGATGACTCAATTCTTGACAGTCAGGTCTGGAAATAATCAATACAGGTATTCCTCGACTTTTGACCTCAGCTGAGATCAGAATGTCCATTGCCATGCAAGGAAGCTAAGAGAGCTGCAGCCGATTTTACGACCTTTTTGGACTTGTTGGTTAAGCAGATCACTGCAGTAGTTAAGTGAATCACACTGCTGTTTAACTAAGATGATTAAAGGCCTGGAGATTAAAACATATGAAGAACGGTTGGAGGATTTGGGTTTGGCTAATCTAGAGAAAAGAAGGACTACAGGAGACATGATAGCAGTGTTCCAGTATTTGAGGTGCTGCCACAAAGAAGGGGGGGGGGGCGCAACATATTTTTCAAAGCAGCAGAAGGCAAGACAAGAAACAATAGATGGAAACTAAGTAAAGAGAGAAGCAACCTGGAATTAAGAAGAAATGTCCTAACAGTGAGGACAATTAATCAGTAGAACAGCTTGCCTTCAGAAATCGTGGGCACTCTATCATTGGGAGCTTTTAAGAAGAGACTAGACAATCACTTATCTGAAATGGTATAGGGTCTCCTTCTTGAGCAGGGGGCTGGACTAGAAGACCTCTGAGGTTCCTTTCAGCTCCATTCTGATTCTGACCTTGGACCACTCCCTTCTTCTCTAGGAAGAAGGAAGCAGTGGCAAAACACTTCTGAAATCTTGCCAAGAAATTTGCAGGATGTAGTCCAAGAAGTTCTCAGAAGCGGATTCAAATATACAGAATAAATAAACCGAAAAGGATGAGGGTGGTACTGCAGATACTTTATAAAAGATTCCTGGTTTCTAGGAGGCCACAATTTCTGAAGACATTTCTGTTTCAAGAGGCAGACTCTTCCATGGACCTCTCTGTCAGCACCGCTCTTCTCCTGACCATCTCCTGCTGCCTGGGGAATACTGAAGCCCGAAATTACAACTATGTACTCACTGTACCAAATGGGGCTCCCTGGGGTCCCTGGGGCTCAAATGAGTTTTGCCCTGAAGGCTATGCAAATGGTTTCTCCCTGAAGGTAAAAACTTATTTTTCAGGTGCTCTTTTACTTCTTTCTCTTTGCTTGGAATTAACTCTTCAGTTTTTCACTTTGTGTTTTAAGAAAGGCATGTGTTGATGCTTAAATTTTTTTTGACTCTAAAATCAAAGAGAGGCACAAATTATCCCATATTGATGGGTAAATGCTGGAAATTCTGAGAATTGAAGGCTGAAAGAGACCAAGGACAGAAATTTGAATTTTAAAGGTACAGGTAAAGGTTCCCCTTGCACATATGTGCTAGTCGTTCCTGACTCTAGGGGGTGGTGCTCATCTTCGTTTCAAAGCCGAAGAGCCAGCGCTGTCCGAAGACGTCTCCGTGGTCATGTGGCCGGCATGACTAAACACCAAAGGAGCATGGAACACTGTTACCTTCCCACCAAAGGTGGTCCCTATTTTTCTACTTGCATTTTTTATGTGTTTTCGAACTGCTAGGTAGGAAGAAGCTGGGAAAAGTAACGGGAGCTCACCCAGTTATGTAGCACTAGGGATTCGAACCGCTGAACTGCCAAACTTTTGATCAACAAGCTCAGCATCTTAGCCACTGAGCCACTGCATCCCTTTGGATCTTGAACTTTATCAGAGTCTTATTTTCTTAGGTAGAAGCACCCCAAGGGAATGGTGACGATACAGCTCTGAATGGAATCCGTTTGTACTGTACCAAAGGCAAAACAATTGAGTCTAGAGTTGGGCCGTGAGTAACTGACTTTCTTGTCCTGTTTTATTTTCATGTCATCAGGAATGGGGTTGGAGATGACTGATCCTTACTTTACCGCTACTGATTTCAGAAGGGGATGCACTGGAATTAGTAAAGCTGACTTTCAGGCACTGTTGTACAATGGTCTCTCTGAATTAGCAGCTGAGACATGGATGGAGATTTATTTATTCCTAAAAAGTCCAAAAACAGCTACTAAGGTTTTGTGGACCACAGCAAACCTATCTCCAACCTTTACTCTTTCCTGATGTGCTCATTGCTCTTTCCTGACATTCATTCATGCCCTCCAAACACCCTGTATTGACTTTAGTCTGCCCCACACTTCTCTCATTATGCAATCAATGGTTCTATCGGCTGTTCTTATAACTCTGTTTGTGGGGAGACATGAACTTCAGTCTTGAACTACAGGTGAGATTGCTGTTTATGAAAATCAGAAGTGTGGTTGCGATTAATGTCCTATACTTGAAATCTGGGCATAGCTCTTTAAACATCAAATCCCAGTCAATTCAGTCACATGCTGAAGAGTATTTTTGTTACTAAAAATAGATCCAGGAAAATACAGACCTATCAGCCTGACCTCAATATCAGGGAAGATTGTGGAAAAGATAATCAAGCAACGAATCACTGAACACTAGAAGCAAACCAAGTAATAACCAAAAGCCAACATGGGTTTGTCAAAAACAGATCATGCCAGACTAATCTTATTGCATTCTTTGACAAAGTGACAAAATTAGTGGACCAGAGGAATGCTGTCGATATAATTTACTTGGACTTTAGTAAAGCATTTGATAAAGTAGACCATAACCTACTACTAGATAAAGTAGAAAAATGTGGGTTAGACAGCATCACCACCAGATGGATTCGTAACTGGCTGACCAACCGCACTCAATGTATAGTCCTCAATGGAACTGCATCTCCATGGAGGGAAGTATGCAGTGGAGTACCCCAGAGCTCTGTTTTAGGCCCAGTGCTCTTCAACATTTTCATCAATGACTTGGACGAGGGGATAAATGGGGAACTCATCAAATTTGCAGATGACACCAAGCTGGGAGGAATAGCCATCACTCCAAAAGATAGGCTCAAGATACAGAAGGATCTTGACAGATTTGAATATTGGGCGCTATCTAACAAAATGAAATTCAACAGTGAAAAAAAAGCAAGGTTCTACATTTAGGCAAGAAAAACAAAATGCACGGGTACAGTATATGTGGTACCTTGCTCAATAGTAGTAACTCTGAGAGTGATCTTGGAGTCCTAGTGGACAACCATTTAGATATGAGCCAGCAGTGTGCAGCAGTTGCCAAAAAAGCCAACACAGTTCTGGGCTGCATAAACAGAGGGATAGAATCAGGATTATGTGAAGTGTTAATATCATTTTATAATGCCTTGATAAGGCCACACTTGGAATATTGCATTCAGTTTTGGTCGCCACAATGTAAAAAAGATGTTGAGACTCTAGAAAGAGTGCAGAGAAGAGCAACAAAGATGATTAGGGGCAGGGGTGAAACCTAAAATTTGTTACTACCAGTTCTGTGGGCATGGCTTGGTGGTGGTGGGGTTAATGTGACTGGGTGGGCGTGGCCAACTTTTTTTCTTTTTCTTTTACTTTTAAAAGCATTTTTTCTACGAAGAAGTTGCAGAAAAAATGCTTTTAGAAGCCTCTGACGATCAAGCAACTAAGCTGGGATCGTCAGGCTTTTAAAGGCATTTTCCCCCCTACAACCTCTTCGGCCGAAGAGGTTGCAGTAAAAAATGCTTTTAGAAGCCAATGACGATCCCAGCTGAGCCGTGCGATCATCAGAGGCTTTTTTTTTTTTTACTTTTAAAAACATTTTTTCAGCCGAAGAGGTTGTAGAAAAAATGCTTTTATAAGATTTTTGCTACCAGTTCTCCAAACCACCTGCCGCCATCACTACCGATCGGGCGATCCTGTCCGAACCGGGAGCATTTCACCCCTGATTAGGGGACCGGAGGCTAAAACATATGAAGAACGGTTGCAGGAACTGGGTATATCTAGTTTGATGAAGAGAAGGACTAGGGGAGACATGATTGCAGTGTTCCAATATCTCAGGGGTTGCCACAAAGAAGAAGGAGTCAAACTATTCTCCAAAGCACCTGAGGGTAGAACAAGAAGCAATGGGTGGAAACTAATCAAGGAGCGAAGCAATTTAGAACTAAGGAGAAATTTCCTGACAGTTAGAACAATTAATAAGTGGAACAACTTGCTTGCAGAAGTTGCTCCAACACTGGAAGTTTTTAAGATGTTGGATAACCATTTGTTTGAAGTAATGTAGGGTTTCCTGCCTGGGCAGTGGGTTGGACTAGAAGACCTCCAAGATCCCTTCCAACTCTGTTATTCTATTCTACTATATTAAAGACTGATAGTAATGCCTATAACTTACAGTACCTTTGATTTATTTATTAGATGATTTAATCAGGTTCATTGCAAATGAAGGTCTCGGCAGTCAAAATGCCTCAAATCAGGATTAGGGCAGCAATGGGCCGATGGGAGGTTGTTCTAACTTTATTTATTGCAAAATAGTCTCTCCCCCCCCAAAAGAAAACCACGGGGAAGGGCCACATGGTCTACAGTTCTACACAGTTCTACAGAGGAATAATTGAGTCTGTCATCTGCACCTCTATAGCTGTCTGGTTTGGTTCTGCAACCCAACAAGACAGACACAGACGCCAGAGGATAATTAGAACTGCAAAAAAAACAATTACTACCAATCTGCCTTCCATTGAGGACCTGTATATTGCATGAGTCAAAAAGAGGGCTATGAAAATATTTACAGATCCCTCGCATCCTGGACATAAACTGTTTTGACTCCTACCCTCAAAATGACGCTATAGAGCACTGCACACCAGAACAACTAGACACAAGGACAGTTTTTCCCCGAACACCATCACTCTGCTAAACAAATAATTCCCTCAACATTGTCAAACTATTCACTAAGTCTGCATTACTATTACTGTTAATCTTCTCATCATTCCCATCACCCATCTTCTCCCACTTATGACTGCATGACTGTAACTTGTTGCTGTATCCTTACGATTTACATTGATTGTTTCCTAGTATGATCTGATTGCTTATTTGTACCCTATGACTATCATTACGTGTTGTACCTTATGATTCTTGATGAATGTATCTTGTCTTTTTATGTACGCTGAGAGCATATGCACCAAAGACAAATTCCTTGTGTTCCAATCACACTTGGCCAATAAAAAATTCTATTCTATTCTATTCTATTCTATTCTATTCTATTCTATTCTATTCTATTCTATGCTATGCTATGCTATGCTATGCTATGCTATGCTATGCTATGCTATGCTATGCTATGCTATGCTATGCTATGCTATTCTAGGGCAGCCAGAGGGGACACTCTATTTTCTTATAGAACTGAGACCACTCAGATGTGGTCAAGGGAAGGTTGGGGGTTTAAAAAACTTATTCTCCCCCCCCGGACCTTATGCCAGCAGCCACAAAATCCTCTTCCCTTGTTTTTTTCCCCCCTACAACAGCCCAATGAGTTAGGTTGAAAGTCAATTATAGGCCCAGAGATAATGAATTTTGATACTCAGACATAGAGTTCAGCTGGTTCCTAGTCCCAGATTTTAGCCATTATGCTTAAGTCTTGTAGCCTGATGATCAAAGGGATGTGTATCCATCTTTCCCTATTTTTGGCAGGTGGGGAACCTGGACCACAACCCAGTTCTGCCACTCAGGCTACCTGGTTTCTTTTTCTCTGAAAGTGGAACCACCTCAAGGAAAGGGTGATGATACATCAGCTAACAACATCCAATTCACCTGCAGCAATGGTCAAGCCCTGCAGGGCCATGGCCGGAATTGGGGTTATTATGGCCCATGGAGCAGTCGCTGCCCCTCAACTGGTATATGTGGGCTACGAACAAAGGTGGAGGAAAATCAGGGCAAAGGTGATGACACAGCACTCAACGATGTGAATTTTTACTGCTGTTAATAGCTGATATATGTTTTGCCACCTGGAAATATACTTTTGTCATACATTTCCAACAGTGGTGAGATTTACTACCAGTTCTGTAGGCGTGGCTTGGTGGGTGTGGCATGGCATGGCTTGATGGTATGGCTTGGTGGGTGTGGCAGGGGAAGGATACTGTAAAATCTCCATTTCCACCCCACTCCAGGGGAAGGATACTGTAAATCTCCATTCCCTCCCCACTCCAAGGGAAGGTTATTGCAAAATCCCAATTTCTTCCCTTAGCATCTGGGACTCGGGGGGCAGAAAATAGATGGGGGCGGGGCCAGGCAGAATTTTTACTACCAGTTCTCCGAAATACTCAGAATTTCTGCTACCGGTTCTCCAGAACTGGTCAGAACCTGCTGAATACCACCTCTGATTTCCAAAGACTGCTAATTATAATCCAATATTAACTTGAGAAGAGAGGTTATGTTTGTGAAAGTGTGATAGTACAAGGTAACCCCTCCCCCCATGCATGTCTTGAAATGGGTTCAGATTGGAAAGAAAAAAAATGTGGTGGCAGAAACCTCAAGCATTGCAAAGATTGATTATCTCTTCTCTATCATTTTGAATCAAGTCACAGAACCAAACTGTAATTCTGTATTACTGCTTTCTTGCTTGCAAATAAAATTATGTTGCATCTTCAAAGTCATTTCTTTCTTTCATTGAGCCAGGTTTGGGCCACAATAATACGTATGTATTTCTTTGGGTTTATTTATTCTTGTACTCTGCATTTCACTACAAAGAATACAGAAATATTCAAGAAAATAAACTATAGGTGGGCCAGCACTAGTTAAGAACCAACAAAAATTGATGATGTATGTGTTTTTATGAGATGCGGATTAAGAGCTACATATGTTTTCTTCTTACACAAAGCCTACAAATAATCACTTATCCAAATTACTACTTTTCTGTTCTTTAAACACTTACATAAAAAGATCTCTCTCCCAATCCCATACCTTTCATTGGCTCTGAATTTTTATTCGTATGTATTGATTGATTTGATTTGTACATCATTGGAAGATTTGGTGAAATGGGGAAATCTGCAGTTATCTTTGATTGGTAGGATTGCAACTATTAAGATGAATATTTTGCCTAGAATTTTGTACTTACTTCAGACAATTCCAATAAAGTTGGATAAGGAATTCTTTGCAGACTTGAATAAAATGATGTTGAAATACAGTACATTTGGCAGGGAAAGAAGGCAAGAATAAAACTTAAGTTGCTACAAGATGCTAAAATGAGGGGTGGTTTTGGTCTACCTAACTTTGAACTTTATTATCAAGCAACTAGTCTAATGTGGATTAAAGAATGGATAACTTTGAAAAATATTAGATTATTGAATTTGGAGGGACATGATTTGTTGATGGGGTGGCACACCTTTTTATGGTATAAAGGAACTAAAATACAGGGGTATTTTAGAAGACACAAGATACGTGAAGCTTTATGGTTGAATTGGGAGAAGGTTAAAAAATATCATTATTTAAAGATTCCAGTCTGGGTATCTACAATTGAAGCATTTTCATACCCAGTGACATTTAAAAGGGAACAAATTATAAGATATAAGGAATTATTGGATGAAAAGGGTGAACTTAAATTAAAGCAGGATATAGAAGATCAGGGCTGTAAGATGGATTGGTTTTCATATATGCAAATACTTTCTAGATATCGAGAAGATCTTAAACAAGAAGGTTTTTATAATGGCTTGACTAACTTAGATAAGATTCTAATGGATTCTGATGACCGTGTAATTAAAAAGCTATATGGCTATTTATTAGGGGCAAAACTGGAAGAAGAATAAGTTAAAGAATCAATGATAGCATGGGGGAAGAATTTTGGTTATGGTATTGATTTAGATAAATGGCAAAAATTGTGGTCACATAACTACAAAATGACAATGTCTACAGCATATAAGGAGAATTTGTATAAGATGTTTTACAGGTGGCATCTACCCCTGACGAGGATAGCCAGAATGTTCCAGAACAAATCGGAGAAATGTTGGAAATGTCATCAGACCACAGGATCATATTACCACATGTGGTGGTCATGTGCAGAAGCAAGGAGATATTGGACTAAGATACACATGTGGTTGGAAAAAATGATAAAGAGACAATAGATTTTAAACCAGAAATATTTTTATTAGGGATCCTACCAGAGATATATAATAAAGAACTGCAATACTTCATTGTGAGTCTTTTGACAGCCGCTAGAATTGTATTTGCTAAAAATTGGAAAGGAGAAAAGATACCTAATGATGAAGAAATTATTAAGAAAATGATGGAATGTGCTGAAATGAGTAAATTGACATTTGAAATAAGAGAGCAGGAAGGCAGACAATATTATTCGATATGGGAGTTATTTTACCAATGGATGGAGAATAAGATTTGGAGATAATTATGAAATGAATGGTTGTTGAAATAAGTTAGGCGGAAAAAACTTTCATGGAAACAAGTGGGGATGTTTAGTGATAAACTGAAGAGAGGAAGAGCACAAAAATGTCACCGATCGACACACTGTCTGTAATTGTTTGGAATAATAATGTTTTTATGTTTTGTTTTGATTTTAAAAAAATAAAAAATTTCCAAAAAAACCAAAAAACAATTATATGAATCCAACAAATTGTGGCTTATTTCAAAAACTATAGGCAAGAAATCCTTGACTCCATATATGTATACTTGTTATGTATACATTATTGAATGTATACGTATAGTTGTGTTAAACCCTGCTAAAGTGAAACTGTTAGATGACCCTCACTGTTAGCTCCAACTGTTTTGGAGGGAAACTTTGAACATTCATATTTGGGCCGGTTTTTCAAGCATTATGATTGGTTAAGACACTGTGGGCCCAGAGTATAAATTACAGACATTTGGCTGCTGTTTCTCAGTTCCAGTTTTGAGTCAATAAATGCTGTTGTAGCTATGCTGGACTGGTTCTTGGCTACTGAAGCCCACTACACAATATTACTGACTTCTGCTGTCCCTCTAATAGCTAATTCCTTCTCTACTGTTAAGAAAATTCATTAGCATAGTTTTATCATTTGCGAGTTTTAAGACCAAAAACTATATCACTAGAAGCTTTTTAGCTTAATCCCATATGAATTTATCTGTATATATCTGTATATCCCTGACCTTTGCACTTTCCGCCGCGAACTAAAGACATGGCTGTTTAAATCACCCAGCCTGGACTGATGGGGTTTGATTATTTTAATGAGTTTAACATATGTTTAATTTGTATTTTAATATGTTTTTATCTGGTTTGATTTTAATTGTTGTGAGCCGCCCTGAGTCCTATGGAGATAGGGCGGCATACAAATCAAATTAAATAAATAAATAAATAAATAAATAAATAAATAAATAAATAAATAAATAAATAAATAAATATGTTTAGTATAGCATATCCGACATTTGAGCAGCTTTCAGAGGAAGCTTATTGATACTTCACATAGAATACATTACATTAATCTAAATATGTATGAACAATTATAATTAGCTATGCTGTCCAAGAGAGGGCGCCATTGATCCAACCAAAATTAGATTACTCCTATTACAATGGAGGTCACTTAGGTCTGTAGTAAGGATGACTGTAGATGCTCCCTCAATAATTTAGTCTTGATAGTTTGTACTGAAGGTATCTATCCAGTAGAATTTTAATTAGGGAATATCAGGACCTTTGCTATATTCTATACTTCTGTTTTGTTGCCTTTATACCAAACTGGCTCTCAATTCTTCGTTAGATAAATTAAAACCATGTTTTTGTTCTGTTGTAAGACACATCACTAACTAGCATAGATTCTTGGGTGGCAATGATACTGTAGCTGAATCTTCATTTAAAGAATTGAAAGCAGCTTCTTTTCCATTTTGGTTTTGAAATTATCAAGGTAGCGAGAAAGGGATGAAATTAAACGGGCATCCTCAAATGTCAGAGTTCAACAGGACAACCCCCAAAATGTATACGCAACTTAGTTCATGGCAAATTTATGAGGCTAATTTCGATTTCCAATGCCAGACTAAGAAGAACAAAGAGAAACCTGGGAATAGACAGAGCAATGGCTTAGCTGTTGTCATTTAAATTTATCAGATTGGAAATCAAGGTTTTCCAATGTTGTCACTCTTCTTCCTCTCAGATTGATATATTTGGATTTCATAATCTGACAATCTGATTATAGCCATTATTTGTGAACTTTCAAAGAGAAGACCCAGGAAAGTCAAGTCTGTTTTTCTACATTACATAGATTTAATTTATCTCAGGGATGTCATACTGAAGGCCTACAAATAGCAAAGGACTGGTCCGCAGTGCCTCTGCTAGTGAAAATGGGCTAGTGAAAACGCCCCCTGCCCCGTGCCCCATTTCGGCTGCCAGAGTGCTGCGGGAGGCTATCAAGGCCAAAAATGGGCTTTGTGACTAGCAAACTGTAGATTTTGTCCTCCCTTTAAGATTCTCTAGTATAAGCAGTATTAAATCCCATCTTATAGGTGTTCTCAGATGATCCTCCTGCCATGGCTGTAAAGATATGTCATGGGAAACCACAGTACCATGGGAATTGTCCAATGGGGAGACATTAATCCTAACCCTTTCACTTGTCTACTTACAGGTAAAAGGACTCTTCGCAGTCACAAAATTCCAAAAGCCGTTTAATGTGCAATAAATATAAATGTTCTACTTACCTGTGCAGAGATGACCTTGGAAGAAACATATGACTATTAGCAAAATGTGAGCCCAGTCTTGGTAAATAAGAAAACATGAGAAAGAAGCTAAAAGCTGCCTTTTTAATAGTTTGTAATCATTAAAAATTAGCACCTGTTATTTTAAGGGTGGAAATATATAAAACCTCTGTGTATGATCACCTTATGCACAATTTAGTGAGTGAAATTAATAGTCTGAGTTCTCACAATACAACAAATAATAAACATCTAGAATAGACACCACTTTTAAAAAATACCCCCAAGTTCTTTTTCAGAAGTAATGGCCTCAATTCTATTCCTCCTCCTCCTCCTCCTCCTCCTCCTCCTCCTCCTCCTCCTCCTCCTCCTCCTCCTCCTCCTTCCTTCCTTCCTTCCTTCCTTCCTTCCTTCCTTCCTTCTTCTTTCATCATCATCATCTTCTTCATCATCATCATCATCACTACCATGCTAAATATGGTCTCTCCCCTTCCTAATGTTAAATTGTGGCCCATGGCTACTGAAACGTTTCTTTTTATAGTTTTTATAGTTCAGAATCTTTAATAAACGTAATTAAACTGAGCATCAGCTAAGCATCCAGTGGACTAGAGCAAAATGCAAATAAACTAGACCTTATTTTCAGATAGCAACCACAATCATTTTTTAAACATTTCCTGGCTCCATCCAAGGAAGGCAACAGAAGTTACTCAGGTTTCATGTCCCTGCCCCTACTTCTGTCCTGCCTACAAACAGTCCTCCATTTAAGGTCTTTCCCGTTCTGGCTGTAGGAAAATTAACTGCAGGAAGACGGTAAGTATAGCTGCAGAGAGCAGTCAAGTGAGAGATGCCTTCACATTTCAGAAGGAGGGAGAGACTGAGAAATTAAGGCAAAGCAAAAGCTGAAGAATCTATAGACTGTGTAAGAGAAAAGCTACAGAGTAAGAAAGGAGGAAAAAAACATTGAAGGACCAAGAGACAATCTTTTGGTGAGTGTGCCAATTTGGAATGTTGAAAACATTTAATGGGCACACTTGCAAAATGACTGGCTTGGCAATCTCCCCTTTGTGCAAAGTGATGGGCAAAACTAATGCCAATACAACCAATGCCTCAGAAGGCAAACTGGCCTTCTAGAATTAATAGGCATTTTCATAGAGTCCAAAAGCAGGATTTACTCAGATAAAGGCCAGGCAGATTATTTATTTTGTTCTACTTCTTCCATTCAGGAGCTCCTAATGGCTTACCTAATACCCCTTTCCTCATTCTTTTTTCAACGGTCTTTGTAAGAATCTTGAGGTGAGAGGGATTGTCTTAAAATCACCCAGTGATTATGTATTTACCACTTTTTGATTTTACTTATTGTAGTGTTTATTATTAATGCTGTTATTATTATTATTATTATTATTATTATTATTATTATTATTATTATTATTAATTATAATAATAATAATGTTTTGTTATATGTTACATGTTATAAATTAATATTATATATAAATTCACTTCATTAATACAAGAAAGAAATGCATTTTGACTTGCAAGAAATTATGCAAATTATGGAAATGGTTTCTCAACATACCTTGTTGACTCAGGCTAATTTTATAGGAATTAAAGTATGTGCAAGATTCAGAAAATTATGTATTTGAGTTCCCTGCTCCCCTCACTCTGTTTTTTTGCTATAAGCCATAAATCCTCTAAGCTGCTGATTGTAGAGGCCAGTTTGGTGTATTGGTTAAGACACCAGGCTGAGGACTGAGTCATGTCTTAGGTACAAAGCCAACTGGGCCGGTCCCTCTATCTCAGCTCTAGGCAGAAGGAGGCAGTGACAAATACTTTCTGAAATCTTCCCAAGAAAACTGAGGATCAAATCCAGACAGTTCCTTGGAATTAAGGCTGATGCAAAGGTACAAAATAAAGAAACCTGGAAAGCATGATTTCATGAGGCTGGTACTGCGGATACTTTATGATTGATTTCCCGTTTCTAGGACATTGCAATATCTGAAGACTTTTCTGTTTCAAGAAGGAGACCGGTTTCCATGGATCTCTCTGCTAGCACCACTCTTCTCTTGACTATCTCCTGCTGCCTGTGGAATACCGAAGCCCGAAAGTATACATACGTGCTCAGCGTGCCATATGGGGGTACCTGGGGTACCTGGGGCCAAAATACATTTTGTGATAAAGGCTATGCTCATGGCTTCTCCCTGAAGGTAAAAAAATATTTTTCAGATGCTCCTTCACTTCTGAATATTCTCCTGAAATTAGTTCTTTAGCTTATCTTTCAAGAAAGGCAATCAAGAAGTAACTGTGTTGATGCTTAACTCTCTTTGATTCTCTAATTAAAGAAAGTCATTGAGTTTTGTGTGGAATATTGTGTGGCAGATCTAAGCTTGATCCAATGCTTTGTCCAATGTTTATGGGTAAATGTTGGCATTTCTGAGAATTGGAATCTGAAGGACTGCAAGGGAAGAAAGGCTGATCTAGAACTTTATCAGGGTCATATTTTTTTAGGTGGAAGAAAAACAATATGCAGGTGATGATACAGCTTTGAATGGAATCCGCTTGTTCTGTACTGATGGCACAGTAATTGAGTCTAAAGTTGGAGCGTGAGTAACTGACTTTCTTATTGTATTGCATTTTCTTGTCATGAAGTTTGGGAGAGGAGATGACAACTTGACAAGTGCTTAGTTCAATGCTACCCAATCCTGAAAATCAACGTGGCTGATCTCAGAAGAGGAAGGCACTGAAAGGGTTGTTTAATGGCCTCTCTGAATGAATACCTGATGCAGAGACTTGGATCAGAGTTTTTTGTGTTCCTGAGTGGTGCAGTGGTGTAGCAAATAGTTTGTGGGCCATTGTATGTGTATTTTTTTTGCTCCTTTCCATTGTTCTTCTCTGGGGAGGGTGAAAATGGTCTCCCCCCCCCCAGAGGCCCTCTGGAGGCTGGAAACAGCCCATTTCCCAACTTCCGGTGGGACTGGAAGGCCCAAAAATCAGCTGGCCAGTGCACGCATGCGCGCTGAAGCTGAGCTACGGCAATGCTTGCATGCCCACAGATATGGCTCTGTGTGCCACCTGTGGTACCCGTTCGCCATAATGGCGAACCTATGTTCGCCATCATGGGATTAGGAGAAGTCTTGGGAAAGAGATCAAGGGATATATTCTTTATCATATTTTTCTTAGGAGCAGGCACAAGGCCTCTTTTTCCAACGTTTTTTTCCTACAATAGCTCAAAGAATTAGGTTGGCTATCAAATTTTGGCCCAGAATTGCTAATGATAGCAAAAAGTAGACTTTAACTTGGTTCCTAGCCCAAGATTTTAGCTTTGTGCCTGAATCTCTGGGACTGATGACATGTGTTTAATTTACATGCTAAAGTGATGCTTATCCATCTTTCTCTTTTTTGGCAGGTGGGGAACCTGGACTAAAAACCAAGTCTGCCTCACAGGTTACTTGGTTTCTTTTTCTTTGAGAGTGGAACCAAGTCAAGGAGAGGGTGATGATACAGCAGCTAACAACATCCAGTTCACCTGCAGTGATGGTAGTGGCCTGATGGGCTTTGGCCTGACCTGGGGTGAATGGGGTCCATGGAGCCACCGCTGCCTCTCAGGTGGCATATGTGGGATGAGAACAAGGGTGGAGGATGCACAGGGCCTTGGTGATGATACAGCACTCAATGATGTGGTTTTTTTCTGCTGTTAATGGTTGATACATGTTTCCTCACCTACAAATATACTTTTGTTATACATTCTCAAAGGCTGTTAATTATAGTTAAATATTAACTTAACAATAAAGAGTGTGTTTGTGCATAACATGCTAGTACAAAGTAACCGCCGTCCCCCCAGGTGTTCAAAACAGTCCAGATTGAGAAGGCATAAGGCAGGTAGCAGAAACCTCAAGCATTGCAAGTGATTGACTGTCTTCCCTCTCATCATTTTGATCCAAGTCACAGCACCAAAGTACAATACCATATTACTGCTTGCTTGTATGCAATTAAAATTACCTTGCATCTTCAAAGCTGTTCCTTTATTTCAATAAGCTTCTGCAGTGCTGACTGAATGGTGGGCGATGGAAGGATTTATATTCTTTGTAGTCACCTGGTTGTTAGTAATCTGAACGTCCAGTTGCTTTTTGAAAACACCTTTGGGACAGTCATGAGCTGGATGACAGAGAATCTCCATAAACATTTATCTATCCAGTAGTATTTTAGTTGGAGTATCAGGACCTTTGCTGCATTTTGTTACCTTTATACCAAACTGTCTCAATTCTTCATTAGATAAGTTAAAACCATGTTTTTGTTCTATGATAGGATACATTTCTAGCCAGGATCAGTTCTGCAATGATAGTGTAGCTGAAATCTTCATTTAAAGTGTTGACATCTTCTCTTCCATTTTGGTTTTGAACTTATCAAGATACTGAAAGAGATGAAATTAAAATGTCAGAGTTCAACAGGGCAACCCCAAAAATGTACATGCAACTTAGTTCATGGCAAATTTATGGGGCTAGTTTCTATTTATTCCAGACTAAGAGGAACAAAGAGAAACCTGGGAATAGACAGAGCAATGGTTTAGCCGTTATCATTTAAATTTATCAGATTGGAAATTAAAGTATTCCAATGTTGTCACAGATTGATATATTTGGATTTGATAATCTGATGATTAGAACCATCATTTCTGAACTTTTAAAGAGAAGACCCAAGAGAGTGAAGTCTGTTTTTATACATTACATAGATTTAATTTATTTAGTTTATCCCATTATCTCAGTTCTTTTTCTCCCCTCTTGCATTCAGTCTTAAACCCAAGAGGGATCTGTGAAGCAGACCACTGTGCTTTAAAAACCGTGCTTTAAGACTTAATGGAAATTAACCCAGAGAACTCAACTTATTTGACAAACTATGGTAAATGAAGCCATGGCTAAATACCCTCTGTGAATACTCCCAGGACTGGTCAAAAGTGAGTGTCAGGGTTCCAAGTAACACCCCTAATGAAATCAAACCCTGGGGCTTGAAGTTCCTCAAAACCTACTATTACTAGAGATGTCATATTGGCACATCTGGGAAAACTTGAATCTGAAAGCTGCCAGGTTTTCCTCACCCACAAGAAAGTTCAAGACCTCCCACATCTCCCACCTGTCCACACAGCTCCAATCAGTTCTTTCCCGAAACACAAGGCATCCTCCAATTTCTTCTTTGCACAGCTGCCGGAGACCATGGCCTTGACCTTGTCTTAGAGAAATTTGTTATGGCTATCTCTACTTCACTCATGCAATCCCCCCTCACAACTTCCCACAGTATGATTGCGGCAGGCCTGGATCCTCAAGGCACACAGCTAATATGGCTTCCAGGCATGACAGGCACCCCCCCCCTCTGAAGAGACATGTGTCCTGTAAAGAAAATAACATTTGGGGGAATTATCCACATTTAGTCACCCATCCCCTCCTGGGGGACCCTTTGGCTTGTCTGGGTATTTATCATGGAATTGTTTAATCGGTCTATCTGCTTTGACATTCCAGCTTTTTACCCACGTGGCTTCAGACAAAGGGTACCCTTTCCATTGTATTCGGTATTGCAACTTACCTTTATACATTCTGGAGTCTAATATCCTCTTTATCTTGTAATGGGTCTCCCCTTCCACCACAATGGGGGGAGAAGGCAGCTGGGTCTGGGGTCTTATGTTAGATCCAACGGATCATTTCAGCAAACTACAATGAAATATGGGGTGTATTTTTCCTAATACGCGAGGGAGGCTTAATTGCACTGTCACAGGGTTAATTATTTTTACTATAGGAAAAGGGCCTAAGAACTTTGGTCCCAATTTCCTGCTAGGCAGACTTAATTTTATGTATTTAGTGGAAAGAAAAACTTTGTCCCCCACCTGAAAGGGAGGTTGAAGCGAGCGGTGCTTATCTGCTTGTTTTTTATATTCAGCCACTGCTTTGGAGAGTGCCTTTTTTGTATTTTCCCACCCCTTTCTCAATGAATCCATCCATTCTGTCAACGACATGGAGGAGGGGGGTTCTCTTGGCAGTTCTGGCATGGGGACAAATTCCATGCTGCTGGTAACTTGGAAAGGAGTTAGTCCAGGGCTAGAATGCATGGCATTGTTGTATGCCACTTCTGCGAATGGCAACAACTCTGCCCAATTTTCTTGCTGGTAATCCACATAGTCCCTGATCCACATAGTATCTGATGTATTGTTCCACCATGGCATTCATACATTCAGCAGCTCCGTTCATGCTTGGATGAAAAGCCAAACTGAGCCCCTGTGTGGACCCGATGGACCTCAGGAACTCTTTCCAGAACTTGGCAGTGAAGTGGACCACTTTCTGGGAGCTCAACTATGAAGTCCATTGTGATCTCCTCCCGGACCAACCCTGACCAACCCACATAACTGGAGAGATTTTAGAGGAACACCTCTTTAAATTTGGGGGGAATTTTGAGTATCCAGTGTTTAAAAATATTTGATAAAAATTGACATTTGAGTCTGGAGAATAAAGGAGAGGATAGCTGAGGAAACATCTGGTGGTGCCCATAGGAGGTTATGAACTAAGGTTGGTACTCCAATGACTGATGTTTGATCTAAAACAAAGGATGCAGAAAGACAAAGTCCCTGAAGAAGATCCAGGAGGATTGGTTTGCACGTTAACTACTCTTGCCGACTGAAGTAGTTTCCAAACAAATAGTGGAAAAATATATAAAGCTATAGGAGCAGAATGCTTCTGTTTTTCTATATCAATCCTTCCCCTTCCCATCCCTTGTTAACAAAATAACAGCACACAGTCCTGCTCCCACCTACTTTGCACCCTCCTCACTTGCCATCAAAATGTTTTGGTGATTGACTACTCTTCTTCATTAGTACCATTGCTAGGCTGTCTTCTGCAGAAGTCCATGCTATTCAAACACAATGATTCTTGGAACAAGACATTAGGACATGTTCTCTTCAGATCATAAGTTACATTGCATATGGCAGATTGACTAAAACTGATTAGAAAGTTTCCATGGCATTATTATTTCACCTTGATATAGTTCAGCAATTCGTTCTGATGGTTAATTTTCAGAAATCACTTCAGCAATTAGTTTCAGCGATCAGTTTAAAAAGCATATTTTGAGCAGTTAGCTTCCGCTAACTGCTCAATTTGTCTTAGATTCACCTAAATAATCAGTTTCAAAACTTAAAGGCAGTAAACATAGAGTCAGTTGAATTTCTTGGTTTACTCTTCTGGAGAAAAACACCCAGATAGACATATTGTTATGCAAATTGTTGAACAGAATGGCTACGGTGGCAAGACTATATGAGATAAATATATATATATAAAAAATTAAATAAAAATGGGTACATTTTGAAAATTAAGAACTTAATGGGCTAAGAGAGTTTGTAGTTTTGAAAATGTGAAGGTTTTCCAGGGCATTTTACACATTTAAAAAATCTTTTCTAGTAAAAACACATTCCACATGACTCAATTTAGTAAAAAGAAAGAAATCTATTCTTTCTAATGGCTGGATAGCTACATGGTGGTAACCCATAATATGGTTTGTTTGCGTTAGCGCTATGTAAACTTCTGTTGTGCTGCACAAACTATGGCTTATTGTAGAAGTAAGTAATTCATGCCCCCCTCCCCATCATTCCCAACTCTCTTCTGATTGTAATTATTAAAAATCAGCATCTTGACTTCCTGTCATTTCAAGGGTGGAAATATATAAAATCTCTCTGTATGATCACATTTTGGTTTTACAATTTGGTGAGTGAAATTAATAGTCTGAGTTCTAACAATATACCAAACAATAAACATCTAGAGAACACTTTTAAAAAAATTGTGAAAGGTTCTCTTTCACTCTCCTCCTCCTCCTCCTCCTCCTCCTCTCCTCCTCCTCCTCCTCCTCCTCCTTCTTCCTCTCCTCCTCCTCCTTCCTCAATATGGGGCTTGTCAATCCCCTTCCTGAGGTTAAGTGTGGCCCATGGCTACTGAAAGGCTCGTTTTTATAGTTTTTATAGTTCAGCATCTTTAATAAACATAGCTAAATTAAGCGTCACCTAAGCATCCAGTGGACAAAAATAAAATGCAAATAAATTAGACCTTATTTTCAGATAGCAACCATAATCTTTTTAAAAAAAATTTCATGGCTCCATCCAGTGAAGGATACGGAAGGTGCTCAGGTTTCATGTCCCTGCCCCTACTTCTGTCCTGCCTACAAACAGTCCTCCATTTAAGGTCTTTCCCGTTCTGGCTGTAGGAAAATTAACTGCAGGAAGACGGTAAGTATAGCTGCAGAGAGCAATCAAAGGAGACCAGGGGAGATTAAATCAGAATTACACATATCTAGTTGTTTAGAAGAGTAGAAAATATGGATGGCTTTAGTGGAATATGGATAGCTCGTTCTTGCTCTAGGTATTAGTGTGAACATAGAAGTGAGAGATGCCTTTCGCATTTGAGGAGGAGGGAGAAACTGAGAAATTAAAGCAAAGAAAAAGACAAGGCTAGTTATAGAGCGTGAAAGAGAAAAGCTACAGAGTAAGAAAGGAAAAAAAAAACATTAAGGGAGCAAGAGACAATATTTTAGTGCATGTGACAACTTGGAATGTTGAAAACATTTAATGGGCACACTTGCAAAATGGCTGGCTTGACAGTCTCTCCTATGTACAAAGTGATGGCCTTGTGGGCCAGACTAATTCTAATACAACCCATGCCTCAGAAGGCAAACTGGCCTTTTGGGATTTCTAGGCATCTTCATAGAGTCCAAAAGCAAGATTTCTTCAATGAAAGGGGCCGGGAAAATTATTTATTTATTCATTTTCACTCCTTCCATTCAGGAGCTCATTGCTCATTTTTTCCCCAACAGTTTTGCCAGGAATCTTAAGGTGAGAGGGACTGTCTCAAAATCACCCAGTGATTATATATTTACAACTTTTTGGTTTTACTTATTGTGCTGCTTAGTATTAGTACTATATTTTGTTATATGTTACATGTCATATGTTAATGTTATATATAAATTCCCTCCTTCAAGACCAGTCTGCTTTTTTTTTTTTTTTTACTCATTTGTTTAATTGGGTGTGCATTATAAATTTAGGACGTGTTCAGAACAATTATGTTTTAGGTCATATTTATGCAGAAATATTGAACATTGAAAAGGGTTCATAAAGCTAGTCATCATTTTATGTAAATTGTGGTATTTTTGATATTTGTTTCTATTTCCCCCATCCCATCCAATCCATGACCTTATAGAATGTCTGGTATAAGCTTGTTGCTGGGTAGAATATTATATATAAATGTCATAAATTTTTATTAGATGGTGCTCTGTTACATCATTAATAGTGTCATTATGTAATGGAATCTATTTTTTAAAAAATATTTTTTATTAAACATTTAAAAAAACAAAAGAATCTTTAACAATTTTTTCTTTCCAACAATTTCGCATCGTTAAAACATTTCTTACTTATCCATTTTTTCTCCCTTATTTCATGGAACAGCCTGCTTTTCATCTCTCATTCCAAGAAGGAGGCCTTTCTTGGTAAAATCTTACCAAGAAAGCTGCAAGATCAAATCCAGGCAGTTCCCTGGAATTAAGGGTGATGGGAAGCCACAAAACAAAAGAACTGAAAAGCATGATTTCATGAGGGTGGTACTGCGGATAGTTTACGACTGATTTCTGGTTTCTAGGATGCTACAATTTCTAAAGACTTTTCTGTTTCAAGAAGCAGAATGGTTTCCATGGATCTCTCTGCCAGCATCACTCTTCTCTTGACTATCTCCTGCTGCCTGTGGAATACCGAATCTCGAACGTATTCTTCCGTGCTCAGTGTGCCAAATGGGAGTTCTTGGGGTGAATGGGGTCCAATTTCATTTTGCTCTTCTGGCTATGCTAACGCCTTCTCCCTGAAGGTAAAAGTGTATTTTTCTGATGCTCCTTCACTTCTAAATATTCTCTTGAAATTAATTCTTCATTTTATCTTTCAAGAAAGGCAATCAAGAAGTAATTATGTTGATGCTTTACATTTTTAATTCTATAATTAAAGAAATGTATTGAGTTTGGAGTGGAATATTGTGTGGCAGATCTAATCTTGATCCAATTCATTTTCCAATATTTATGGGTAAATCTTGGTATTTCTGAGAATTGAAATCTGAAGGACAGCAAGGGAAGAAAGGCTGATCTAGAACTTTACCAAGGTCCTGTTTTCTTAGGTGGAAAAAGACAATTGGACTCTTGACAATACAGGTCTGAATGGAATCCGCTTGTACTGTGATGACGGCACAGAAATTGAGTCTAGAGTTGGACCGTGAGTAACTGATTTTCTTATCGTATTTCATTTCCTTGTCATGAAGACTGGGAGAGGAGATGACCTCTCTGAATGAGCTGCTGATACTGAGACATGGATGAGAAATGTTTGTATTCCTGAGTTGCGCAGTGGTGTAACTATTCTATATTCAAAGAGTCTACAATCTCTCAAGCAAAGGGTCCCTAATGAAGATTAGGAAAATCTTCATAATTTAAACTCATTATTTCTTGTATCCTCTTGTAGAATGAAACCCACAAACCTTCCCCCTTTTCTGCATTTCAGCCCTTCAAATACTTGTGGGCAGCTCTCACGTTGTCCCATAATTTTCTGTTTTGTAAACTAAACATACTCAATGATTCCAACCATTCCTCATATCTATTTCCCTGAAGCCCAATTCCTTCAAAATTAACTAGAGATATTCTTGATACTTCTTGTACTTTTGGGTGGTTTTTTAAGGACACTGGAGAGTCTCGGTTGTCTCAGGACATTGTGTGTTCCCCTGGTGACTTTCCATGACTTAAGAAGTTTGTAGGGATAATGGATGCCTCTGCATGTAGACACCTTCTACGCTTTCTCCAGATTCCTGCTCAACAGTAATTGTATATTGTTTGCAATATCTTTTACCTATTGATCAGATTATTTAATTAAGTTCATTACAAATGAAGGTCTCAGCAATCAAAATGCCTCAAATCAGGATAAGGGCAGCATTGGACATTTGAGATGTTGATTCACCTTTCTTTATTGCACAATCCTTTTCCCCCAAATAAAACATGGGGAAGGGCCACATGGCAGCCAGAGGAAGAACTCTGTTTTCCTGTGGAACACCATGTGTAAAGTAACAAGGGAAACTGAAAAAAGAACTCAGACATCCAATAAGAAAACGAGGCACTGAATTTCCACAGGGGACTTGCTAGCTGAATAATGATTTACTTCTTCACTAGTGGGTAATTCATTCATTCAAGGGTAATAGAAGGAAAAGGTCTTTTTTCAGGGGAAATGGTGGTTAGAATAGTGTAAGACAATTTGCGGTATGAGAAACCTCTGCTGTAAAGATTCTGAACATGACATTGATTAGGAGAAGTCTTGGGAAAGAGGTCATGGGAAGAATTCTGTATCCCATTTTTCCTAGGAGTTTATGCCAGATGCCAAAAGACTCTTTTCCTTAATTTTTTTTTACAATAGCACCAAAGAATTAGGTTGACTATCAAATTTTGACCCAGAATTATGCAATGATAGCAAAAAGTAGACTTTAACTTGGTTCCTAGCCCAAGATTTTATCCATTCTGCCTGAATCTCTTGGATTGATGGCAAGTATTTAATTTAGACACTAAAGGATGCTTATCTATCTTTGTTTTTTTTTGGCAGGTGGGGAACGTGGACCAGAAACCTATTCTGCAATAAAAGCTATTTGGTTTCTTATTCTCTGAGAGTGGAACCACGTAAAGGAATTCTTGATGATACAGCAGTTAACAACATCAAGTTCAAATGCAGTGATGGTGTTGGCCGGAGAGGCTTTGGCACTACATTGGGTAAATTTGGCCCATGGAGCCAGAGCTGCCAATCAAATGGTATATGTGGGATGAGAACAAGGATGGAGGATGCACAGGGCCTTGGTGATGATACAGCACTCAATGATGTGGTTTTTTACTGTTGTTAATGGTTGATACATGTTTCCTCGCCTCTAAATATACTTTTGCTATGTATTTTCAAAGACTGTTAATTATAGTTAAATATTAACTTGAGAATAAAGGGTGTGTTTGTGCATAATGTGGTAGTACAAGGTAACCATTCCCCCAAGTGTTACCTCTTCAAACAGTCCAGATTAGAGAGGCATAAGGAAAGTAGCAGAAACCTCAAGCACTGCAAGTGATTGACTGTCTTCCCTCTCACCATTTTGATCCAAGTCATAGCACCAAGCTATAATACCATACCATGCTTGCTTGCATGCCAATAAAACTATGTTGCATCTTCTGTATTTGGTGGGAGTATGAATAGAATTTCTTCTGCATGATTCATTTTCAATAACTTTTTCAACCTAATGTTCCCAATTATTTTTGCTGCTGAATATACATGTCCCTGGATGAAGTTGAAAGATCTAATCTGGGTTGGTCACTGGGACCAGAGGTTTTGTCTTCCAAGCTTTCAGACTTGTGCTGGAGCCCATCTTCAGGGAACTTCTCTCTATCAGAGAGAAGACTGTGTGTGGTATTTATAGTATCTATTGTAAGTTAGATGTTCAACATTCCAAAATGTCTAAGCATTTCTGAATCCAGCTGTGTGGAATAGAATAAAATGCTTTCTTATAGTCAATCCAGGCCATTATTATTTTATTAAATTTTTTAAATAGGTTTTTTAAATAGTTTTTTTCTTTTACATCCATAAAAGCTTGGTGAATAGTGTATTGTCTGGGTCAATATATTTTAAATACAGTACTACTACTAATATTATTTAGATATACGGTACATAATCATAATTTTTCAACTTCTAACATTGGTGTATACATGTTATAATGTGTTCTATTATATATCAGTATACATAATATAATTTTCTCAAATAGTATTTATAAATTTATTGACTGCCTGTCTTACCACACATGCAAGTGAGATCCTGGATCCAGTACTGCTCAACATAGTGATAAATAGCATGGAAGAGACCTTACACAGTAAAATTATCAAACAGTAAAACTCTCTTGAGGATTGAATGAAGGTTTAAGTAACACACAATGCTGCATGACAAACTGCAGCAATGTGTAGAAACCTGCAAGATGAATTTGAACAGGGAAACCTGATATACAATTCTGTAGGAAAAACTAAGTATTATTTATTTTATTAAGAAAATTTATAGAAATGACCAACTCACTCAAAATACCTCCAGGCAGCTTATAGAATTAAAACCCCCAAATACAAAACTCAACAAGTCCTTACCTATCCCTCCCCATATCAAGCAATCCACTTGATGGGCTATATATCACTCAGCTGTTACCCAAGGTCTCTGGCAAACCATCTATCCAGGCAGGCCTTTTGAAAGAGTATCAAGGTGAGGGCCAATCTTATCTTTATGGGGGTAATGTTCCAGAGGGAGGGAACCACTATGGAGAAGTATAATACTGTATAAGATGAAGGAAACTATGCCGGGCAAAAATGATCTGAGGTTTTGCTGAAGCTGAAAGTGAGACCACAGAACAATACAATGATTGCATAACCATTGAGAGGTCTTGGACTGGGCCAAGAACAGAAGTCATAATCCCTCTGGAAGTCTGGCCACTCCAAGAATATTACATTCAGTTCTGGGCACTGCAACTTTGGAAGAACATTGATGAACTGAATGTACAGAAGAAAGTAATTAAGATATGAAATGACTCCAGGGAAACAGATATGAAAGGAGTAAACATATAAGGAAGTATGTTCAGCCTACAAAACAGGAAGTTATGGCACAATAGTTGCCCTCAAGTATTTGAAGGGCTGAAATGCAGAAAAGAGAGAAGTCTTGTGGGTTTCATTCTACAAGAGGATACAAGAAATAATGAGTTTAAGTTAAGTTATAAAAGACGGTTTTCCTAATGGCAAATGCATTCAACAGCTGCTTTCAGAAAAGGTCTGGACGTTCCATTCAGCCAAGACTTTTCAGTGGGAATTAGTCTATTTACAAGTAGTATAAAGACTCTTAACTAACATTAATTGCTTGTTACTAGCAGTTCAAGTATCCATAAGGCATCCATTCAAGATATAAAAGCAAGCCAATGTTGGGACTTTATTTGATTTTAAGTTTTACCTCTGGACATTGGCTTTTCAAATGTCTACTTTGGAAGTTGAACAAACACCATGATGAAGCTTCTGAAGTGTTTGGGTTTTTTTTTTTAGTAGACCTTTATTACACTTTTAGTAGTTTAAAGGTAGGTAGATGTTTAGATTTGTGTGTGTGTGATCTCAATAGAGGTAATTTAAGAACTAGTTATGCCTGTCACTGCTAAGGCAATTGATATCTTTATGACTGACACAAAGGCAACACATTGATGTAGCAATTACTTAAATATTTGTTCTGCTCTGCTGTTGCAGTTGCGAAAAATGAAGATTCTGCTTTGGAGGCTCAATTAGCATGGGCTATATTTACACCCTATATAAAACTCTTGTTGCTGTTCCTTAAAATTAACAGTTCATGGTTGTTCCACCATTATATATCATAATTCACTTAGGAGCCTCTAGAGACTGCCTCACCACATGATCCTAGGCTCTTCATATAAACAGATCGGTCTCAAGATGTTTACGTTTAAATTTCAACAGCAACATTTTAAACTGGGCCTACAAACAAATTATAAAGCGATGGCATAGTAAAAACAGATAACACTAAATCGTGTTCCATAGTCTTATAATTTATTTTGAAACCATGTTTGAGATCTGGGAGCAACTCTTTGGGATTCCAGTCACAACTACTGAAAAGCAGAGGCATTACTTCCTGCCATTTTGAAAAGTATAAAGAAAGAAAAAGGAGGTAAGGAAAACTGGTCACTGCAATATTTTAAAAAATAACCTTGACCAAGGAACAGCATAGGAGACATTTTAGAGGAGCAGCTTTTCAAATTGAGGAAAATTATTGGGTGTCTATTGTTTTAAAAAAATAGTTTGGTAAAGTTGGACATTTGAGTTTGGGGAACAAAGAGATAATTCTGACAGGATGGCTGAGGAAACATCTGTGATGTCCATTGGAGTTTAGGAACTAAGATAGGTAATCTAATGACTGAAGTTTGATCTAAAGGATGCAGAAAGACAAAATGATTGAAGAATATCTAAGAGAATAGGTTTGCATATTAACTCCAGTCACAACTACTGAAAATCAGAAGCATTACTTCCTGTCATTTTGAGGACCAAACCTCAGAAAAATATAACATAAAGCATTATCGTAAAGAAATAAAAAAGATGGAAGAAACTGGTCACTCCCATATTTTTGAAAACAATCCTGACCAATGCACAGCACCTTTTTAATTTTGGGAGGAATTATTGGGTGTGTACTTTTAAAAACAGAGTTTGATAAAAATTTTACATTTGAGCTCGGAGAACAAGGAGATAAATAATGCAGAGAGGATGGCTGAGGCCATAGTGAGTTTAGGAACTAAGGTAGGGGTCAGGGTTCCAAGTAACAATCCCAGCCAAGCAAGACTCTGAGGCAAGCGATTCCTCAAAGCTATACTTTAGGTACTCCAGTGTATTCACAGTAGGTGCTCCAATGACTGAAGTTTGGTGTACGGTAAAAGAATGCAGAAAGACAAAGTGCTTGAGGAAGATCCAACAAGATTGGTTTGTACATGAATGACTCTTGTTTAAGAAATAGAAGCAGACTTTCCTTTGCTTTTTTGCATCATAAAGAAAATACTTTTCAATCCTTCTCTTTCCCATCCCTTGTTAGCAAAATAACAGCACACACTCCTGGCCCCACCTACTTCTGCACCCTCCTCACTTGCCATCAAAATGTTTTGGTGATTGTCTACTCTTCATGGCTAATACAATTGGTAGACTGTTTTTTGCAGAAGTTGATACAATCCGAACACAATGATTCTTGGAACAAGACATCAGGACATGTTCTCTTCAGGTCATAAGCTACACTAAATATGGCAGATTGACTTTCCATGATAAAAATAAATTCCCATGAGATTATTACCATGAGATAGTTCAGCAATTTGTTCTGACAGTTAATTTTTAGAATTCATTTCAGCAATTCGTTTCAGCAATTCATTTAAAAAACATAGTTTGAGCAGTTAGTTTCAGTATTTGTTTTAGATTCGCCTAGATAATCCATTTCAAAATTGAAAGACAATAAATGTAGAGTTAATAGAATTTCTTGGTTAACTCTTGTTAATCTGTATAGACACCATACTTGTAGAGCAAGATATGCAAATTGTTGAACTAAATGGCTACGGTGTCAACATTAGCAATAGTAATAGCACTTAGACTCATATACTGCATCACAGTACTTTACAGCTCTTTTAAAGCAGTTTACAGAATCAGCATATTGTCCCCAACAATCTGGCTCCTCATTTCACTGATCTCAGAAGGATGGAAGGCTGTGTCAACTTTGAGCCAGTGACGGTCAAACTCCTGGCACTGAGCTGAATTAGCCTGCAATACTGTATTCTAATTACTGTGCCACCACTGCTCCTATATAAGAGGAACCACTACTATACGAGATAGTAGAAAAAAAATTATTAAATTTTTTAAATAAAAATTTAATAATAAAATTTAATAAAAATAAGAGAGCCTTGGTAGTACAGGGGTTTAAGGCACCCTGTTATTAAGCTTATTAAGACCAGCTGCCTGCAATTAGTGCAGGGTTTGAATCTCGCCAAGGCTCAAGGTTGACTCAGCCTTCCATCCTTTCTAAGGTAGGTGAAATGAGGACCCAGTTTGTGGGGGGCAATAAGCTGACTTTGTATAAATATACAAAAGGATGAAGGCTATTGCTGAGCGCATTGTAAGCCGCCCTGAGTCTTCGGAGAAGGGCGGCATATAAATCAAATTAAAAAAAAAATACATAAACATGTATACTTTTTCAAAACTAAGAACTTAATGGGCTTAGTTTTGAAAATGAGGTTCTTGGGATGATCATCTTGCTTGTGGGGTGCCACAAGGGTCGGTCCTCTCGCCCCTTCTGTTCAACATTTATGTGAAGCCGCTGGGCGAGATCATCCGTGGCTTTGGGGTGGAGTTCCATCAGTACGCTGACGACACTCAGCTGTACATCTCCACCCCAGGCCACCCCAACGATGCCCTTGAAGTGATGTCCCAGTGCCTGGAGGCCGTGCGGGCCTGGATGGGGAGAAACAGGCTCCGACTCAACCCTTCCAAGACCAAGTGGCTGTGGCTTCCGGCGTCCCGATATAGCCAGCTGGTGCCATCGCTGGCTATTGGGGGCGAATCATTGGCCCCCACGGAGAGGGCTTGCAACTTAGGCATCCTCCTGGATGCACGGCTGTCTTTAGAAGAGCATATGATGGCCGTGGCCAGGGGGGCTTTCTATCAGGTTCGCCTGATACGCCAGTTGCATCCCTTTCTGGATCGGGACTCCCTACGCACGGTCACTCAAGCACTCGTCACTTCCCGCCTGGACTACTGCAATGCTCTCTACATGGGGCTCCACCACAAATGCCCACGACACGAGTGATGTCAAGCTGGCCATGCCCACCCTGGCTATGCCCACCCTGGCCCCCAAGGTCAAACAACCCTGATGCAGCCCTCAATGAAATCGAGTTTGACACCCCTGCACTAACCCTCTTTTCAAATTTCAGGTCATTTCTTTTTTTAGTGGTATCCTCTATCTAA